TGGCCATGAAACAAGACCCTTATCCAACCCACACCCACATCGTCATCCACATCAACAAAACTATACGCGGCGCCATGCCTTGCGATGCGATGTTGAACCTTTTGGAGTCAAGCGTGCACTGCCAGCGTATACCTGTTGTCAAGCGCCTTGACTCCTATTGTCGCGGCGCCATGTGTTTGGGGTTGGGAAGGTGAACATACCAGATCTTCTGTCTCCTCTTCCATCCTCTCCAGCCTGCTGTTCAGTCTCTACCAAACCCTAGCTGCACCACCAAGATTCCTAGTTTTCTCCATGGTTTTGCTAACTACTCGTCGCTGTATCTCTGATTACAACCTTCCCGCGCTGACCGCCTATGGCCGAGCCATCGCCGGCACGCAATGGTGAAGCTCGCGCCATGCCTAACCTCACGACCAGGCCCGTAGGTTTGACAGGCCTTTTTTTTTTTACATAATACGCCCTTACAGCCTCCTCCATTGCCTCCCCCAACACTAGTACAAACCGCAGTCGCAGCACATTCCCTCCCATCGCCGTCGCAGCCACCAACGCTGTCTCTTGCAACAGCTGCACCGGTCATGGTTGATAATGAGCCGCTCCCCCAGCCATTTCGCAAGCAAGGGGAATGCTCTAAGGCTGTAGGGCAAGGGACAACCAAGAAAGGACCTCCGAACAAGAAGAACTCCGTGCAACGGTACCACCAGACAAAGCAGTTGTTTGTTCCTACATCATACAACCCTGTCGTTATACTAGTTTCCAGGCAAGATTAGGAACCTACCACCGAACCAACAGTGCTTGTCAAAATCGCCGCCACTGCTTCGTCTGACACCAGACATCCCGACATCGCAAAGAACAAGTACCAGGAAGCTTTACTCATGTTTAAAAATCAATGGAATGAAAAATTCTCTTCGCAAATTTTTTGTCAGACCTCGTTTGGATTCCCATCAATGAAATGCACAGTGTGTATGGAGTATGGAGGCGCAGGAACTAACTTCAGGAGAGGCGAGTCAGCCCTTGATATGCAGACTCAAGCCATGCAATGACATCAAGGAACCACGAAGCACAAGGAAGCCATTCGCAACCAGGAGCTGGTGTTGACGAATATTAACAGGCAACATCGCATCGCCAGTTGCCCAAAAGCGCGTGACTTGGAGCATGATTTTCTGGAGGCGCTGCTGGATAATCTGCTCTTCACAAAGACAGACGCACCCCATAGAGATGTGGGTGCTGTGAGAAGAATAGCGAGGAATGGATTGACTAGAAAACAGGTGGGTACAAGTAGGAAACCTAAATGTGTTGTACCCCATGTTATCTACCCCACTACAGCCTACATAAACTATAGCATATAAGTTTGACACACCCCCATAGGCAAAGTGGGGGAGAACAAGAGGTCATAAGACCAGTCAACAAGAGCAAAGCAAGCTCAGGGTGGATCAAAAAGTCACCACGCATTCCGAGCACAAGCATAAGGCCACAAGGCCAGTTCACACGCAGAGTTCTATATCTAGGTAAACAAGCAAGACAGTGATCTCAACCTAGCAAGGGTAAGCATGCAAGAGCAGGAATATATAGACTACAGTACAAGCAAGGTCAAGAAGTGAGCAAGTGAGGCCAAGTAGGCACAAGACCTAGCATAGTACAAAAGCGCTGATGATCACAAGGCTGAAGTGCCTTGGTAAAGATATCAGCAGTGTTGGCCCGAGTGGCCACGTAAGCAAGACAAAGCTGACCCCACTGCTTCAACTCTCGAGCAAGGAAGTAGCGCAAAGAGATGTGCTTCGTTCTGTGCTCCAATATGTGCTTCTGACACAAGGCAAGCATGGCCTTGTTGTCGACGTAAAGAACTAGAGGAGAACGAGGCGCCTCCCCCAAGTCGGTCAGCAGGTAGGTGAGCCAGCGTAACTCCTGTGCAGCCAGGGCTCCGGCGTAGATCTCAGCCTCACAACTCGAGACGAGCGGGTAGACCGCCATGTAACCGAGCCGGAACCAAGGCTGAAGGTGTAACCCTGTGACGACCGCTGCGTAGCCAAGTCGTCAACCCCAGAAGCGTCTGCGTGACCAGTGAGGACATCTCGAGCCCGTCCTCCAAGCACGAGCCCCATGCCCAAGGTACTGCACAAGTAGCGCAACACCCTCTTAGCTGCATCCATGTGCTCTGGTCGGTGTCTCCCAGGAGCAACATAGTGTGCCAGGATGCTAAGAGGGTATGCCAGGTCAGGTCGAGTGAAGTTCATCAGGTACATGAGGCAGCCAACAAGCTCTAGGTACGGGCCACTCGGCTCTATGGACTCATCCGAAGGCAGAGCTGAGAGCGAGTGGCGAGTAGACAGAGGAGTGGCCTCAGGCGAGGAGTACATGAACTTGAAGCACTGAAGGACCTGCTGCACCATGTGTGATTGAGTCAAGGTAATGGTGCGCTGTGCTCTGTCCCGGGTGATCTGCAAGCCAAGATAGTTGCGCAGCTCACCCAGGTCGGTGCACATGTATCTCTTCTACAGCTCCGACTTCACGTGGGCGAGTCCAGCAGTGTCAGCAGTAGCCAAGACCAAGTCATCGACGTACACGAGGATGTAGAACGACAGCTGAGTAGTGTCGGCGCGAAGAAACAGCGACGGGTCAGCAGTGGAAGGAGCAAAGCCAAGAGCCCCAAGCGTAGTCCTCAGTGTGTCGTGCCACTCACAGGGCGCCTAGCGGAGACTGTAGCCTGGTCGCCGGAGGCTCCACTGGGTGCCAGGAGGAAACGACCCAGTGAAGCCAGGTGGGGGGCGCAGCCAGATCTCCTCGTGCAGGCTGCCTGTAGGAAGGCTCTGCTGAAGTCAAGAGAGTGCAGCTTGTAGTCACGCTGAGCAGCGATGTGCAGCAGTATCCGAAGAGTGGTCATCTTCGGGGTGGGAGAGAAGGTCTGAAAGTAGTCAAATCCCTGTCGCTGAATGAAGCCTCGACCACGTAACGCACCTTGAAGACAGGCGGAGAACCCGGCGGCCGCTTCACCCTCGCATGCCATCAACAATGTTCGCCCTAGATGGGGGAACCTCGTCGACTTAAGTGCCTGTGGACTTCTTGGATGCCATCTTTGCGTCCATGGCTGTCTGCCACTGAGAGGAGTAGGGACCCTCTATCGCCTCTGCGTAAGAGCGCGGGGTCGGGATGTCTGGTGCATTCGGGTCTCCCTCAGGGGCAATCAGCAAGGACACGAGATGAGGTAAAGCAGCAGCAAAGCATTGGAACTCCTCCTGCCTGTCCTCAAGGACGTCCGTGCTAAGAGCACACTCACCCCCGACGGACAGAGGACAGACAGACTCAAACTCAGCAACAAGACTAGCGGCTTAGTCGAGACGACAGTGAGCAGCAAAATCGACAAGCTCAGCAACATGAGCAGACGCATCAGTAGACTCAAAGGAAGGGTCAGTGACAACAGTGGCCAAGAGACGCGTGAAAGTAGGACTAGAACACGAAGGGAGTTAGACTCTGGGTCAGCAAAGGCACGAAGAGAAGACGCAGGAGGAGACGGCAACGGAACACGCTCCGTAGCAGTGGAAGGACGCTGAGCCATCTAGTGCGTGCCGGAGACAGGAGGAGGATGCTGACGCGAACCACAATGAGTAGTGCAAGCAGCACAAACAGGCGACGCAGGACGAGACTCAGGCGCACGACGCTCAGCAAGACCTCCAGTCGGACCAGTGTAAGGAGAAGGAGCAGGTAGTGGGAAGGCGGGCTGTAACTGTGACTGCGACTGGACAGGCGATGGACACTCTAAGGAAGGAGCAGGACCAGTAGAAGGCGGGAGACCAAGAACCTGCTGAAGGAGCGGAACGAAGTACGGCCGCAGCTGCGCGGCGCCTCCAGAACAAGCATTAATAGCACCAGCACCCCCAGCGTCAGCTCCAACTCCAGCAGCACCACCAGCACCAGCAGCACCTCCGGCAGCTCCATTAGCGCCAACACCAGCACCCCAAGGAGCACCGGCTCCAGCAGTGCCTCCAGCTCTAGTACCTCCAGCAGCTCCAGCTCCAGTAGGACCTCCAGCAGCCCCAGCAGCTCCAGTAGCGCCAGGGCCAGCGCCCCCAACAGCACCTACTCCAGTAGCACCGCCAGCTCCAGGACCTCCAGGAGCTCCAGCCCCAGCAGCACCACTAGGCCCAGCAGCTCCAGTACCCCCAGTTTGAGCACCTTCGGGACCAGTGGCTCCAGAACCCCCAGCAGCTCCAGCAGCAGCAAGACCTCCAGCGTTCGTAGCACCACCAGCTCCAGCAGCACGGCCACAGCGTTGAGCAAACCACTCGCAAAGCTGCTGTGGAGACAGTGGCTCCCGACGGGACGAAGAACTTGAAGGACCTCCAGGCGCAGCACCTCCTGACTCCACACGCGCAGGCTCAGCACCCTCAGGCTTCGCACCCCTAGAATCAGCAACACCAGGCTCAGCACCCCCAGGCTCCGCACGCTCAGGCTCAGCACCCCCAGACCCGACACCCGAAGGCTCAGCACCCCTAGGAGCACCAGAGTCAACAGCTACCTTGACAGGCTCGACCGCGTCTACCTGGAACACACCTGAGGGGGCAGGATTTTGAGGAGGGAGGTGGTCTACCAAGGGAGGACCTGGCGCGAGGAAGAGCGGCGGAGGGGGGAGGGGGGCAGAGCGGTAGGGGAAGAGACGGTAGTAAGGAATGGACTCGTCAAACGTGAGGTCCTAAGAGGGCAGGACACGGCGCGAGGTGGGGTGGTAAAACTGCCAGCCAGGCGCGTCAGGAACAAAGCCAAGGAGGACGCAGGGAATAGCCCAGGCGGAGAGGAATGAGGAGCGGCGCGCTGCCGCCCCTCGACGCAAGGAACGCAGGTAGGGGCAGGCCCCGGGGGAAGGGGAGGGAGAGACCAGGGAAGACCAGTGACAAGGACACGGGAGGCCATGCCTCGGAGACGAGGCATGGAGGGGTGACCAAGGCGGTGGTGCCCGAGGAGAGTCTGGTGAGACAGGAGGCGACACGAGCAGGGGCAGACTCAGGACCAGACTAAGATGCTGCAGCAAACACCTGACCCGACGCGGCTACCTGACCAGACTCAGCAACCGAAGGAGACACGGAAATCAGGGTGTACAGGCTCGACCCAGGCTGATGGGTGAACGTGGCCAGGTGCCGGCCTGTCCGAGTACACGAACATTGGGTCACCCGCTGACCTCCAGGAGTGAACTGATCAACCCACGCGTCCATAAGGTCAGCTCCACTCACCAAGTTCGTGGAGAACCAGGGGAGGTGGAGGCCAGACAGAGAGCCAGACGGGACTGCCGGACACGGCAGGACGGTGGAGGAGTGTGCAAGGACCGGACCCCCAGAGGGGTCAGCCAGGGAGACTGCCAATGGCCGACTGAGCGGTGTGAGTGTGGTGCAGTCGCGAAAGAAGGAACGGGAAGCACCCGAGTCAAGGGTGAAAGTGTGCAAGACTTGAGCCGACGCGGTACCTGACAGAGCGGACTCACCAGCACCTGGAGCAGCAGACTCACTAGCACCTAGAGCATCAGCCTCTATGCCCGGGTCGGGCGGAACACACATGTAAAAGTCATCCTCAGCACTAATAGTCACAGCATACATAGCAGCAAGGATAGCATCATAGTCAAGATCAAAGATAGCAACACCAGACTTAAGCAGATCACCCCAGAGAGGGAGCTCAGTGGCGTCACAAAACTATGCATGCCAGGCGTCAGTCAAGCGGCCAAAACAGCGGTGCGTGGCGTGCGGGCCTTCGTGCGTCTCCCCACTGCGCTCGCCGGTGCGGAGAACGTACGCGCACGGACCAGCACCCCCAGACCTCCCAAGCCCAGCATACCACTCATGAAGCTACTGAGGTGACAGGGTCTCATGAGGACGCTGCTGCTGCTTGCGCTGGCCACCACCAAAGCCTCCCTGCTGCCCAGCGCCACTCCGACCAGAACCACCGCCGCCGCCACCCCCACTGCCACTACCGCCGCCGCCACCCCCACCGCCGCTGCCGCCGCCGCCCCCGCCGCCACCACTGCCCCACTCCCGCCACCACCCCCACCTCCACCCCCACCCCCTCCGCCGCCCCCACCGCCACCACTGCCGCCCCCGCCGTCTCCTCCAACACCCTTGCCCCCCTTGCCATTGCCGCTGCGGCGCTTCCGACTAGGAGCAGACGCAGCGCCGACCGACTCGGTGCCAATAAGGTCGACAGCAGCAGCAGAGGCAACACAAGACAAAAGGGGAACGAGGGAGCACCCCTCAAAGAAGGGGCACGAGGGTCACCACGAGAGGCTCCTACAGCAACTATACTCTTCTCAGCTGCAAGGAGGCGCTCCTCGAGTAGGTCAACGGTGAGCGTGGTGGGGCAAACTGAGAGGAAGTGGTCCCTAACCGAGCGAAGGGAGTCAGGGAGCCAAGTGACGAGGTAGTAGAGAGTGATGTAGATAGGGGGGGGGGGATTCTTGGTACAGAACTCAGCAGGAAGCGCAACCGGTAGAGGGTGTCACTAGTGCGGAGGTTCGTAATGTGGTCAGCGACTGTGGCAAAAGCAGCTAGGTCAGGGAACAGGTATGGCAGCATGAGGCGGCTAAGGGCAGCAGTGGCAGGGGATGAGTAGCTTGCAATAACAGCGTCGTACAGAGTCTGAGGAGTCTTGTCCTGGCTTAAGTGCGCACGCTCGGCAGACGGCAGGTGACTACGGACAGCAAGACGGGCAGCAGCATCGCGCGTGGTCCACTGCGAGCGAACTGCACTATCAGCATCGGCAGCAGGTGCAACAGCGACGCCGGACGTGTGATCGAATAGTAAGATTCTGTCCCTAGAGTTGCAGTGCAAGAAAAGCTGCAGATCATCGACCCGGACCTCGAAATCGACTGCTCGACCCTCAGCATCGAAGGTAAGGGCATTAGGGTTAGCCATAATAGCAGGAGCAGCAGCAGTAGCCTAGGAGCAGCAGTAGCAGTAGCAGCGCGACTCGGCAGGGCGGTGCGGCTCGGTAGGGCGGCGCGGCTCGGCAGGGCGGCGCGGGTGCGGCGGTGCGCGGGTGCGGCAGTGCGCGGGTGCGGCGGTGCGCTTACCAGTGGCGGGAGTGGAGGGCCGCTACTGGTGGGGCAGGGCCGGGGCTCGCCAGCAGGGCAGGGGCCTTTACAAGGAGGGGCCGCGACAAGGCGGAAGGGCAGGGCCGCGACACAGCTGCAGGGCCAGGGCCGCGACGAGGCAGCAGGGCAGGGCCTGGACAGCAAGGCATCAGCGGCGACGACGGCGGCAGTCGCATCGGCGGCTGCAGGCTCGACGGCGGCAGCAGGGCCGCTATGGCGGAAGCAGGGGCGACGGCCGCTGTAGGCCACGGGGCCTCGGCGGCTGCTGCAGGGCAGGGGGGTCACGACAGCAGCTGCAAGGCAGGGGCTGCGACAGCCGCTGCAGGGTAAGGGGCGGCGACGTGAGGCGGCAGGTCAGGGGCCGCGACGAAGGGCGGCAGGACAGGGCCGCGAGGAAGGGCGACAGGGCCGTAGAGGCCTGCGACGACGCGCGAGTGGGCTGCGCAGGGCCGCGGCGACGGCAGGGCGGGCCGCTAAGGGCCGCGACAGGCCTAAAGGGCAGGGCCGCTACGGCGGCAGTAGGTCAGAGTGCGATGCGCGCTTCGGGCAGGGCAGAAAAAAAAAATCAAAGTGGTGGGCCCTAAAAAAAACGGTACCACTAGGGAACCCGCTCTATACCATGTGAGAAGAATAGCGAGGAATGGATTGACTAGGAAACAGGTGGGTACAAGTAGGAAACCTAAATGTGTTGTACCCCATATTATCTACCCCACTATAGCCTACATAGACTATAGCATATAAGTTTGACAAGTGCATCACGTCCAGCACCTTGGATCCCGTGGGAATCCTGAATTCCCAAAGAACGGTTACGGCACGTATTATACAATGCAAGTAAATTACTATTTTTTTATATTTTTTTTACAATTACGTACTTTCATACTTCCGGAATATACAAGATGTTGTATACTGATCCGTGTCTTCGCATGTACGGGTGAAGGCATTCACGCCGTTCGGTGGTTAAGCCGCAGTCACGCCGTAGTAAGCTTGGCGAAGGTGCTGTTAGAGACTAAGGACGGAGTTGTGAAGAAATGAGGAATGAATGACTAAAGAGAATGTGGGTACAAGTAGGAAACCTAGAAATGTTGTACCCTATAGTGTCTACCCCACTACAGCCTAAATAGACCATAGCATATAAGTTTGACACACCCCCATAGGCAAAGTGGGGGAGAACAAGTGGTCACAAGACCAGTCAAGCAAAGCAAAGCAAGCTCAGGGTGGATCACAACGTCACCACACATTCCGAGCACAAGAGCAAGGCCACAAGGCCAGTTCACATGCAAGATCATACATAAAGGTAAACAAGCAAGTGCAGGTATAGAAAGATCACAGTACAAGCAAGGTCAAGAAGTGAGCAAGTGAGGCCAAGTAGGCACAAGACCTAGCATCGTACAAAAGCGCTGATGATCACAAGGCGGAAGGGCCTTGGTGAAGATATCAGCAGTGTTGGCCTCAGAGGCCATGTAGGTGAGGCGGAGCTGACAACGCTGCTGCAGCTCACGAGCAAGGAAGTAGCGAAGAGCAATGTGCTTCGTTCTCTGCTCCAGTCTGTGCTCCCAACACAAGGCGAGCATGGCCTTGTTGTCTACGTACAGAACTGGAGGAGAACGTGGCGGCTCTCCTAGGTCAGTCAGCAGGTATGTGAGCCAGGGTAGCTCCTGTGCAGCCATGGCCCCCGCGTAGACCTCAGCCTCACAGCTGGAGCCAAGAACAGAAGACGAGCGGGTAGACCGCCACGAAACAGAGCCGGAACCAAGGCTGAAGGTGTAACCCTGTGACGACCGCTGCGTAGCCTGGTCGTCAGCCCAAGAAGCGTCTGCGTGACCTGTGAGAACCACTGGTCGCCCTCCAAGCACTAGCCCCATGCCCGACGTACTGCACATGTAGCGCAACACCCTCTTCGTTGCAGCCATGTGCTCTGGTCGGTGTCTCCCAGGAGCAACATAGCGTGCCAAGATGCTAAGAGGGTATGCAAGGTCAGGTCGTGTGCAGGTCATCAGGTACATGAGGCAGCCAACAAGCTCTAGGTACGGGCCACTCGGCTCTACGGACTCATCCGAAGGCAGAGCTGAGAGCGAGTGGCGAGTAGACAGAGGAGTGGCCTGAGGCGAGGAGTACGTGAAGTCAAAGCGCTGAAGGACCTGCTGCACCATGTGTGACTGAGTCAGCGTAATGGTGCGCTGTGCTCTGTCCCGCGTGATCTGCAAGCCAAGGTAGCTGTGCAGTTCACCCAGGTCTGTGTACGTGTGTCTCTTCTGCAGCTCGGACTTCACGTGGGCGAGTCCAGCAGTGTCAGCAGTGGCAAAGACCAAGTCGTCGACGTACACGAGGATGTAGAACGGCGGCAAAGAGGTGTCGGTGCGCAGAAACAGCGGCGGGTCGACAGTAGAAGGAGCAAACCCAAGAGCCGCAAGTGTAGTCCTCAGTGTGTCGTGCCACTCACGGGGCGCCTGGCGGAGACCGTAGACTGGCCGCCGGAGGCTCCACTGGGTACCAGGAGGAAACGACTCAGTGACGCCAGGTGGGCGGCGCAGCCAGATCTCCTCGTGCAGGCTGCCCTTCAGGAAAGCTGTGCTGAAGTCAAGAGAGTGAAGCTCGTAGTCGCGCTGAGCGGCTATGTGCAGCAGCAACCGAAGAGTGGTCATCTTCATGGTGGGAGAGAAGGTCTGAAAGTAGTCAACTCCCTGCCGCTGACTGAAGCCTCGAGCCACGTAACGCGCCTTGAAGACAGGCGGAGAACCCGGCGGCCGCTTCACCCTAAAAATCCACATGCCACTGACGATGTTCGCCCCAGGTGGGGGAACCTCGTCGACGTAGGTGCCTGTGGACTTCCATGAAGCCATCTCTGCGTCCATGGCTGACTGCCACTGTGATCGCCTTAGCGTAAGATCGAGGAGTCGGGATGTCTGGTGCATCCGGGTCTCCCTCAGGGGCAATCAGCGTGGACACGAGATGAGGCAAAGCAGCAGAAAAACACTGGAACTCCTCCTGCCTGTCCTCAAGGACGTCCGTGCTAAGAGCACACTCACCCCCGACGGACGGAGGACAGACAGACTCAGACTCAGCAACAAGACTAGTGGTGTAGTCTAGACGACAGTGAGCAGCAAAGTCGACAAGCTCAGCAACCGAGGCAGACGCAGCAGTGGACTCAAAGGAAGGGTCAGTGACAACAGTAGCCAGGAGACGCGTGAAAGTAGGACCGGCAGCACGAAGAGAGTCAGACTCCACGTCAGCAAGGACAGGAAGAGAGGACTGTGGAGGAGACAGCAACGGGACACGCAGAGGAGCAGTGGAAGGATGCAGTGCCATCTGGTGTATGCCCGGGACGGCAGGAGGAAGAGGACGCGCAGCACGACTACGAGTGCGAGCAGCACGAACAGGCGACACAGGACGAGACACAGGCTCACGACGCTCAGCAAGACCTCCAGTAAGACCAGTGTATGGAGAAGGAGCAGGTAAGGGGGAGGCTGGCTGTAACTGTGACCGCGACTAGACAGGCTGTGGACACTCTAAGGAAGGTGCAGGACCAGTAGAGGGCGGGAGACCAAGAACCTGCTGAAGGAGCGGAACGAAGTACGGCCGCGGCCGCGCAGCGCCTCCAGAACCAGCAGGGACAGCACCAGTACCCCCAGCGGCAGCACCAGCGCCAGCAGCACCTCCAGCTCCAACAGCGCCAACTCAAGCACCCTCAAAAGTACTAGCGCCAGCAGCACCTCCAGCGCCAACATTCTCAGCTGCTCCAGCTCCAGCAGCTCCAGCAGGACCGTCAGCTCCAGTATCGCCAGCAGCTCCAGCAGTACCTCCAGCAGGACCAACTCTAGTAGCCATAGTAGCACCCTTAGTCCCAGCAGCTCCAGTACCGCCAGTACGAGCACCTCCAGGACTAGCAGCAATAGTAGCACCTCCAACACCAGCAGCACGTCTCCAGCGCCGGGCAAACCACTCGCGCAGCTCCTGCGGAGAGGGTAGCTCCCGCCTCAACCAAGCACCGCTAAAGGCCACACGAGCAGACCCAGCACCCCCACGGTCCGCACCCCCACGCTCCGTA